TTCCCTCTTGCATCTCCCTCCCTCCCTCCCACCCTCCCTATCCCACCCCTCTAGGTGGTCACAAAGCACCGAGCTGATCTCACTGTGCTATGTGGCTGCTTCCCACTAGCTATCTACCTTACGTTTGGTAGTGTATATATGTCCATGCCACTCTCTCGCTTTGTCACAGCTTACCCATCCCACTCCCCGTGTCCTCAAGTCCATTCTCTAGTAGGTCTGTGTCTTATTCCCGTCTTGCCCCTAGATTCTTCATGACCTTTTTTTCTTTCTTAGATTCCATATATATGTGTTAGCATATGGTATTTTGTTTTTCTCTTTCTGACTTACTTCACACTCTGTATGACAGACTCTAGGTCCATCCACCTCACTCCAAATAACTCAATTTCGTTTCTTTTTATGGCTGAGTAATATTCCATTGTATATATGTGCCACATCTTCTTTATCCATTCACCTCTTGATGGACACTTAGGTTGCTTCCATGTCCTGGCTATTGTAAATAGAGCTGCAATGAACATTTTGGTACATGACTTTTTGAATTATGGTTTTTCTCAGGGTATATGCCCAGTAGTGGGATTGCTGGGTTGTATGGTAGTTCTATTTTTAGTTTTTTAAGGAACCGCCATAGTGTTCTCCATAGTGGCTGTATCAATTTACATTCCCACCAGCAGTGCAAGAGGGTTCCCTTTTCTCTACACCCTCTCCAGCATTTATTGTTTCTAGATTTTTTGATGATGGCCATTCTCACTGGTGGGAGGTGATACCTCACTGTAGTTTTGATTTGCATTTCTCTAATGATTAGTGATGTTGAGCATTCTTTCATGTGTTTGTTGACAATCTGTATATCTTCTTTGGAGAAATGTCTATTTACGTTTTCTGCCCATTTTTGGATTGGGTTGTTTGTTCTTTTTGATATTGAGCTGCATGAGCTGCTTGTAAATTTTGGAGATTAATCCTTTGTCATTTGCTTCATTTGCAAATATTTTCTCCCATTCTGAGGGTTTTCTTTTTGTCTTGTTTATGGTTTCCTTTGCTGTACAAAAAGCTTTTAGGTTTCATTAGGTCCCACTTGTTTATTTCCATTTCTCTAGGATTTATGTCAGTGTTCTGCCTATGTTTTCCTCTAAGAGTTTGATAGTGTCTGGCCTTACATCCATTTTGAGTTTATTTTTGTGTGGTGTTAGGGAGTGTTCCAATTTCATACTTTTACATATACCTGTCCAGTTTTCCCAGCACCACTTATTGAAGAGGCTGTCTTTTCTCCACTGTATATTCTTGCCTCCTTTATCAAAGATAAGATGACCGTATGTGCGTGGGTTTATCTCTGGGCTTTCTATCCTGTGCCATTGATCTATATTTCTGTTTTTGTGCCAGTACCATACTGTCTTGATTACTGTAGCTTTGTAGTATTGTCTGAAGTCAGGGAGCCTGATTCCTCCAGCTCCGTTTTTCGTTCTCAAGATTGCTTTGGCTCTTCGGGGTCTTTTGCATTTCCATACAAATTGTGAAATGTTTTGTTCTAGTTCTGTAAAAAATGCCAGTGGTAGTTTGATAGGGATTGCATTGAATCTGTAGATTGCCTTGGGGAGTAGAGTCATTTTCACAGTGTTGAGGTCTTCCTAGCCAAGAACATGGTGTATCTCTCCATCTATTTGTATCATCTTTAATTTCTTTCATCAGTGTCTTATAATTTTCTGCAGGTCTTTTGTCTCCTTAGGTAGGTTTATTCCTAGATATTTTATTCTTTTTGTTGCAGTGGTAAATGGGAGTGTTTTCTTGATTTCACTTTCAGATTTTTCATCATTAGTGTATATAGGAATGCCAGAGATTTCTGGCACACAAAGGTGGATGTGTTTACACGGCTTCAATTAGGAACATTAAGAAAAAGGTAACTAGGGGCTTCCTTGGTGGTTCAGTGGTTAAGAATCTGCCTGCCAATGCAGGGGACACAGGTTTGAGCCCTGGTCCAGGAAGATCCCACATGCTGGCCTGTGCACAACTACTGAGCCTGTGCTCTAGGGCCCGTGAGCTACAACTACTGAGACTGCATGCTACAACTACTGAAGCCTGTGCACCTAAAGCCCATGCTCTGCAATAAGAGAAGCCACTGTGATAAGAGGCCTGTGCACTGCAACTAGAGAAAGCCCGTGCCCAGCAACGAAGACTGAACACAGCCAAAAATAAAAAAAGAAATAAATTAAAAAAAGAAAAAGGTAACTAACTAGGTCAAGCTCTGAAGATTTTGAAAGAAGTATCTTACTTGCTGCTGCTGTAAAGGAGCAAAAACAAAAGTAAAAATCAGTGCCTAGGAGTTCAGTGTATTCACCTATCTAAAGCTGGTGAACTGAGGAGGTTTAGTGAGGAGTAAAAGCTCTAGTTGTTAACAACTCTGGAGCTTGGATTTAGAGGAGAAAATTTTGGGTTAGAATTGACACTGTTTTTACTCTCTTGCTTTTATCTTTCAGTGAGACTAAAATCATCCTTTCTTTGGTACCACTCTTACAGTAATTGTGAAGTCCCAGATCAAACATTTGGATCTTCTTAGGAAGTATCTTTTGGACATCAAAGGCAGATCAGCTAGAACACTATCAAGATGATGCAATTGAGAGGTAAGGGTAGGGTCAAAAGGAGCCCAGAGGTTGCTTGTATCTGTTAAAAGCATTTAAAAAACAACAGAAAACCCCACAACAAAACCCTCATCTCAGAAACATCCTGAATACTCAATGTTTAGGTGCAAAAATATTAAAAGATTAATTAATAACATGAGTCATTTAATGGTTTAAGTTCTCTTATTGGACCAGTCTAGATGGAAGACAGTAGTAAGCTGAAAGTAAAAATTTCAATTGTTTTCTTACTAGTCAGTCTGCTAAAAGTATCTTTTAAGCACAGGGTATATATGAATTTTGTAGACTTTTGCATTTTCACAATTTTAGCAAATTCCAGTCTATGTCTCTGACAGTTTTTTTTATAGATTTGTCCTACTTTTTTGTGCATTTTATGCATAGCCTTTAAAACCATATACTCGAAATAGAGCTCCTAATTAATATACAACATGAGTTTCTTCACATACTTTCATCTTAATCCAATTTCCCTTTAGAGCCCTTGGCCATGAGCTGAGGACAAAGGTTACTGTAACTTTTTGAGATATTGTTTCCTTGATACTTTGCTCATTTATTTTTCTATTTTAGAATACTGTGTGGCAATTCTCATGATATACAGCCAAACCTAACTGACCTATTCTCAGTACCTGACCAATGCATTAAAGAAAGATTCTCAAACAAGATCTGGTGAGTATATAGATCTTTGTTCTAAATCAATCAATCAGTGTTTCCCAGCTGTAGCACTGTGACATCTCTCTCTCTTGTGGGGGCTATTTAGTGGCCTCCCAGGGGTAGAAGGGGTGTCAAACAGCACCCCTTCCTTAGTTTCTGACACCAAAAATAATATCTTCAGACATTTTCAAATGTTCCCTGGGGAACAAAACTGCCCCTGATGGGAACAGAGCAAACTGCCCATACATTCTGTGATGATGGACATAAATTCTTACTTTTATTTTTACTTATTTAAATCCTACATACAGTGTGAGGACAAATTGCTTCAGCATGGAAAATTGAGGGGGTTGGATACCTCTGTTAAAAAAAAATGGGGGATTTTTGTATTTTTAGTTTCTTCCTTCCTACTTTTAAATGTTTGTTTGGAAGTAGGAGTTTTTAGGTTCATTCTACAAGTTTAGAAATTTTCAAAACACATAGTTGCCATAACTCTAAGAAAGGCTAAAAAGGTGATATTTATTAAATAAATATCTCCTTGAAAGAAAAGAATTAACCAAACCAGGATTGAAAAACATTTATTGAAACAAAATCAAATACTTACTTTCTTTTTATTATCTACAAGCCAACACTGAACTTACTTTATTCAAGAATGAACACAATGTACAAAAAAAGTATGCTTATATTATAAAAATATGTCAATTTTATCTCCTGGGTGCTGAGCAGAAGTCATTTTAAACAAAATCAAATCAAGGCAAACTTGCTCTCTATAATAGAACTGCTATAACTTAATAACAAAAGTGAAAGCTAATATATACTCACAAAGTATCTTTAAAGGCCTACTGATAATGCTGCATTGGAAATGCTGAACCCAGTCACCACAGTTCACATTTCCAACCTGTGCTCACTGGCACTGCTTCAGGCCTACATCACGGGAAAGCACCTCTTTTTTACAGAATGCATGTCATTAGTTAACAGTTGTTAGCATGTATTTCAGCAAAGTATTAACAGTCAATCATATTTAGTTAGCTTCAATTTTCACACATTGTTATGGGGAGCAAATGACCTCCCAAGATTAACGAACCCATTTATCCAGGTGGGACCTGCTAACTCCCTAAAAACTCTGTGTCCAAGGTTAGTATCTTGGTAAAATTGTTGGTAATTATAATTACTGGCACCTTTCTGGGCATGTGTTCTTGCACACAGTGTGGCTACCTGTGCCTGTCAAGTCAGCAGCAGCTGCACAACAGAGGCTGAAGAGTGCAGCCTTTGGCCTACCATAGAGGCATGCTCCAGTGCTCACTAGAGTATTTGGCCCTTGGAGAATCAGGAAAGTGAGTGAGTGATTGGGAAAAAGAATCAAATCATGAACTGCGGAAAAGGGACCATGCCTCCCTGTATTGTTCTCGGAGTTATAAAATCTGTACTAAAGTCAAAGTCAGAATAGAAGTAGACTACATAGCATCCAGCACTGACAAGGCCTTAAAAAGAGCTTTCACACTGCAGTGCTCTGTCTGGCTGAACAGAATGACAGTGATACTCAGGCAAAATCCAGAATGCAGTATCAACACAATTAATGACATAAGATGAATTCAAGTTTGGAAGTTATTAAACTGCAAAATGCCTATTTTGACTGCTAAGCATATATGTTTTTCCTTGACAGTGTCTCTGGGATTGACACCTACAAAGACTCAAAATTGAAGAACTGTAAGGACTGAGTATTCTAGTGCCTGCTGTACTGGGTAAATTAAATCCAAAAGAACTGGGGGAAGAAATGCTTCCATGTTTTGCCTATATAAACCCAATATTTAGTTAGTTACCTGTTTCACAAGAACCTGTGACAAAGGTGAAGAGAAATGATCTCTTCCTTTATACAATTACCTAATTCCTTATAGCTTTCTAAGTCAGTTTTCAGTTAAGCACCATTTCCTACATGAACTGTTATTCCTACCAAATGCAACTGTTACATAGGGCTGAACTGGACATAATTTAAACATTTTCATGAAAAAACAAACCACTAATTGGCTTAGCACTACACCCTTATCAGGAAGGAGAAGCATTTACAGAAATACAATTTGTGAAGAATAAACGTATTTTGGAACCTGAGCCAAAGGTTTCTCACCAATACCTTAATAAGTCACCATGCAGGTTGTTTTCACAGGCAACAACACAGCCAGGTCAACCGTTGCTCCTGGCAACTTCCATTGTCCCTGGCAACTTCCATTGTCCCAAAATATGTGGAAGATGGAGAAGCCAATGACTGAAATCCACAGTTAGGAATACAGGCCAAAAGCTCAACAAACTGCTACTGGAAGCAACTGGATACCATAACATTAGACATGTGAAAACAGAATGAGCACACAAAGAAATGAACAGCTGCTAAGATCACAATGCTCAGAGTCAGACCCAATGAGGGTATTACCACACACACACACAGATACATCTCACCATACCTGTTTACAATCCCAGGCCCTTGCTCTCAAATAAATATATTGAACATTTACAACAGAATGAATGCCTTATGAATGCAAGCTTTTCTTTTACTATAACTCTAAATAAAAGTCATACTTCTAAAATAAGCTACAAATTGCTTTTTTTGTGTGAAACTGATGTGACTTGGTGCCACAGCTAACCTTTCTCTCATAGCAGCAGTATCATCAGCCTGTGGCAGCAAGGAAATGTTCATTTCTGGCATCCCATGGGCTCCCATACAGGCAACTTCATAAAGCATGCAGATACTACTCTGCTGAAGTTTCAAATGAATATAAGTGATCATTGTGCTTATGGATCTCATACCTTCCAAAATATACATAAATGGTGACAAATTAAAATAGCAGTTCTTTGCTTACCAATAAAATCATAAGGCAGAGGGGATGGAGGTGGAAAGAGAAATTGTTAAAAATGCGGGAGAAAATGCAAAACAGTGCTAGCATTCACAAAAAAGATCATGCTAAAATCAGATCCATATTCATAAAAATCAATCATTAAGCCACAATCCAAAGAACTCTGTCCATGAGTCCAAAGGCATGCATGCCAGCTGAAGGAAATGCAGGATTCTTCTGACAACAGTTTCTTCAGAGCAGAATAGTAACATGTCACTGGAGTAATCACAACAGGGTGAACAAGACGCCATCACACTTTTTTGCAATTGAAAAGGAAAGAAAAGTAATCACAATAAAAAAAAATTGAACAACAGTGGAAACAAAACATAGAAATTCACAGTGACCTATAAAACCAAAGCATAATCCAAATGATTTTTACCCTTTAGGGGTTCATGCCTCTTAACAGTTCTCTTTTTAATTTGAAAACTTTATAATGAAAGATTTATCCGTAATGGTATTAAATATAAAATTACTTCACTACACATGGGATTTCATGCCGTATCAATACTCAGTAACTTCACTCATGTTTAAAGGACACATAAGAGACATCTTGTCACTAGAATCTCAAAGCCTCCCCCCTAACAAGATGTCTTAAAGCATTTAAAGTTTCTCATAAGGAAAACAACCACCTGAAACTAATATTCAAAATGCAGTAACTGCCTAAGATCATCACTTGGCCAACTAAAGTATTTTTACCTTTTCTAGGAAGTTCACAGTTTTTAAAAAATAAGAACAAGATATTTATTTTTTAACCCCAAGATTGAACTAAGGCTGTTTACGTCATCAGCTGTTAGTGGCCATGTATGATGTGAACTTCCAGCCTGTGCTCTGAGGTACTCACTGGAGGAGGGGTCCAGGGCTATCCTGCCTTCATGTCCACGAGCTGCATCTGCACATTGGCAGCCATGCCACCCCCGTAGCCTCCCTTGGACTGCATCTGGTTCTGAATGGAGCTAACCTGCAACAAGACAAGAACAGAACCAGTCAGGAACTAGGGCCACTGCAAGTAAGCAATTCTCGCCTAATATTTTAGCTGGGCTGCTTTTCCCAAAAGGGTACCTTTTATAGACTTAAACTTGTTCTCATTAAAGGCAAAATGCTGAAGCTAGTGACTGAAGCATTTTTTTTGCCACAACTCCCTCTTCACTCATCCCCCAACTCCTGCAACTTTCTCCACTTGGCAATTACAAAAACAAAGTTTTGTAATTCACAAGGCACTTGGAGATGAACTCAACTTTGTCCCTCAAACACCTTAATTTACAAACACCTCACATATATGATCACCTCAATTACCTGGATTAGAATCAGATTCAAAAATAAATATGAATGAAACTAAACCAGAGATAAACTTTAAAAGTCCATGTGGGACTTCCCTGGTGGCACAGTGGTTAAGAATCCGCCTGCCAGTGCAGGGGACACAGGTTCGAGCCCTGGTACAGGAAGATCCCACATGTCGTGGAGCAACAAAGCCCGTGAGCCACAACTACTGAGCCTGTGTGCTGCAATTACTGGAGCCCACGTGACTAGAGCCCATGCTCTGCAACAAGAGAAGCCACCGCAATGAGAAGCCTGCGCACTGCAATGAAAGTTAGCCCCCGCTCGCCACAACTAGAGAAAGCCCATGTGCAGCAACGAAGACCCAATGCAGCCAAAAATACATAAATGAATAAATTTTTTAAGTCCATGTGGTAAAATTTACATACTTAATACAGTCTTAGTATAGTCTGATAAAGTGAAAAGGAGTATAAGAATCCAAAGACTTGGAATATTCAAAGCAAGTTTAGCCAGAGGCCACACCCCAGGAGCCATATGAGCCCAGGGTGGAATCATCATTCTCTCCAGCTTTTATCACGTGGTTAGAGCCCCTGAACTTGGACTCATCCTCTGCCTGAGCCTGCGAACATCTCCTTAACAGCCCTCAGGGAACAGGCTGGTCTCAGGTTTACAGGATGGCTTCAAAATATGACATCATGTAACCCTCACAACACCACCAGGAAGAAGCAGTAGACAGTGAACCTGTGAAACCCTACGCATCCTATCCTCAACCCTGATAAAGGCAGAACTCCAGGCCTGTGCACTCATTTTCTCTACCTGCAACCTTGCTGAGTGGCCCCAGGAGTGCCATATACCCTCCAGGACTTCATTAACCAACCTTCTAAAAAAAAAAAAACATAATTTTATATGTACCAATGAAGTTTCCTTGGAATAGGACATAAAACTGGTGCAGTAAAAGCAAGCAATTGCCAAACAACCAGCAAGAGAGAAACACAGATCCACCCTGTCAGCAGACAGGGTGCCTAAAGTCATACTGAGCTCACAACCACCTACAAACACACCCCTTGACACAGCACTGCCCACCAGAGGGATAAGACCCAGCTCCTCCCACCAGGAAACCTCCAGAAGCCTGAGGACCACTCTCACCCACCAGAGGGCAGACACCAGAAGAGGAGCTATGATACTCCAGCCTGCATAAAGGAGTCCACAAAGAAGGTGAGACAAAATGAGATGGCAGAGAAATATGTTTCAGACGAAACAACAAGATAAAAACCCACAAGAACAACTAAATGAAGAGGAGATAGGCAACCTACCTGAGAAAAAATTTAGAGTAATGATAGTAAAGATGATACAAAATCGTGGGAAAAGAATGGAGGCACAGATTGAGAAGTTACAAGAAATGTTTAACAAAGAGCTAGAAGATGTAATGAACAAATAAAGATGAACAATATAATAACTGCAATGAAAAATACACTAGGAGGAAAAAACAGCAGAATGACTGAGGGAGAAAAATAAGTGAGCTGGAAGACAATGTTGGAAATCACTGCCACAGAACAAAGAAAAAAGAATGAAAAGAAATGAGGACAGTCTCAGAGACCTCTGGGAAACATTAAAACATACCAACATTTGCATTATAAGGGTGCAAGAAGAGAGAAAGGGCCCAAGATAATATCTGAAGAGATTATAGCCGAAAACTTCCCTAACATGAGAAAGGAAACACTCAAGTCCAGGAAGCGCAGAGTCCCATAAAACATGACCCCAAGTAGGAACGCACCAACATGCATATTAATCGAACTGATAAAAATTAAAGACAAAGAAAAAAATATTAAAAGCACCAAGGGAAAAGCAACAAATAACATACAAGGGAAACCCCATAAGATTATCAGGTGATTTTCCAGTATAAACTCTGCAGGCCAGAAGGAAGTGGCACAATATATTTAAAGTGATTAAAGGGAAAAACCTACAACCAAGAATACTCTACGCAGCAACGCTCTCATTTAGATTTGATGGAGAAATCAAAAGCTTTACAGGGGCCTCCCTGGTGGCACGGTTGTTAAGAATCTGCCTGCCAATGCAGGGGTTCGATCCCACATGCCGCGGAGCAACTAAGCCTGTGTGTCACGACTACTGAAGCCCACATGCCTAGAGCCTGTGCTCCACAACAAGAGAAGCCACTGCAACGAGAAGCCCACACTGCATCCAAGAGTAGCCCCTGCTTGCCGCAACTAGAGAAAGCCAGCACGTGGCAACGAAGACCCAACACAGCCAAAAAATAAAAAGGCTTTACACACAAGCAAAAGATAAGAGAATTTAGTACCACCAAACCAGCATTACAACAAATCTGAAAGGAACATCTCTAGGTGGAAAAGAAGAGACCACAACTAGACTCAAGAAAGTACGAATGGGGAAGTTCACTGGCAGAAGCAAACATAAAGTAAAGGTAGGAAATCTTCCACACACAAACAGAATATCAAAACCAGCAATCATGAGGAGAGTACATATGCAGGATATTGGAAATGCATTTGAAATAAAGATATCAACCATTTAAAACAATCTTGTACATACACAGACTACTATAGCAAAACCTCATGGGAACCACAAACCAAAAATCTAGAATAGCTACACACACAAAAAAGAAAAAAGCAATCCAAACACATCACTAAAGACATCAAGGGACTTCCCTGGTGGACCAGTGGTTAAGACTCTGCACTTCCATTGCAGGGGCCACAAATTCAATCCCTGATCTGGGAACTAAGATCCTGCATGTTGCTCAGCATGCCCCCGCCCCCCAAAAAAAAGACAAAGAGAGAAAGAGAAAAAAAATAGACATTAAATCACAAGAGAATAAAAGAGGAAGGGAAGAAAAATGACCTTAAGAAACAAATCCAAAACAATTAAAAAAATAGCAAGTACGTGCATATCAATAATTACCTTAATGTTAATGGATTAAATGCTCCAACCAAAAGACACAGACTGGCTGAAACAAAAACAGGACCTATATATATGCTGTCTACAAGAGACACACTTCAGATCGAGGGACACATGCAGACTAAAAGTGAGAGGATGGAAAAAGGTATTCCATACAAATGGAAATCAAAAGAAAACTGCAGTACCAATACTCAGACAAAATAAGCTTTAAAATAAAAATAAAGACTGTTACAAGACAAAGAAGGACATTACATAATGGTAAAGGGATCAATCCAAGAAGATATAACGATTACAAATATATATACACCCAACACAGGAGCACCTCAATACATAAGGAAAATGCTAACAGCTATAAAAGAAGAAATCGACAGTAGCACAACAATAGTGGGGAACTTTAACACCTCACTTACACCAATGGACAGATCATCTAGACAGAAAATTAATAAGGAAACAAAAGCTTTAAATGACAATACGCCAGATAGATTTCATTGATATTTACAGGACATTCCATCCAAAAACAGTAGATATACTTTCTTCTCAAAGGCACACAGAGCATTCTCCAGGATAGATCACATCTTGAGTCACAAATCAAGCCTTGGTAAATTACAGAAAATTGAAATCATACCAAGCATCATTTCCGACCACAGCACTATGGGATTAGAAACTACAGGGAAAAAAATGTAAAAAAAAAACAACAAAAACACATGGAGGCTAAACAATGGTACTAAACGACCAATGGATCATTGAAAAAATCAAAGAAGAAATGAAAAAATACCTCGAGACAAATGACAATGAAAACACAATGGTCCAAAGTTTTGGGGGTGCAGCAAAAGCAGTTCCAAGAGGAAAGTCTATAGAACTACAATCGTACCTCAGGAAGCAAGAAAAATCTCAAACAACCTAACCTTACACCTAAAACAACTAGAGAAAGAACAACAAACAAAACCCAAGGTTAGTAGAAGGAAAGAAATCATAAAGATCAGAGCAGAAATAAATGAAACAGACAGACAAAACAGTAGCAAAGATCAATAAAACTAAAAGCTGGTTCTTTGGAAAGATAAACAAAATTAATAAACCTTTAGCCAGACCCACCAAGAAAAAAGAGAGAGGACTCAAATCAATAAAATTAGAAATGAAAAAGGAGAGTTACAACAGACACCACAGAAATACAAAGGACCATAAGTTGACTACAAACAACTATATGCCAATAAAATGGACAAGCTAGAAGAAATGGACAAACTCTTACAAAGGTACAATCTTCCAAGACTGAACCAGGAAGAAAAAGAAAATATGAACAGACCAATCACAAGTAGTGAAATTGTAGGGCTTCCCTGGTGGCACAGGGGTTGAGAATCCGCCTGCCGATGCAGGGAACACGGGTTCGTGCCCCGGTCCGGGAAGATCCCACATGCCACAGAGCGGCTAGGCCCATGAGCCATGGCCACTGAGCCTGTGCATCCAGAGCCTGTGCTCCGCAAGGGGAGAGGCCACAACAGTGAGAGGCCCGCATACCGCAAAAAAAAAAACAAAAAACAAGTACTGAAATTCACAGTACTGAAATTGAACAGTGATTAAAAAACAAGTACTGAAATTGAAACAGTGATTTAAAAACTTCCAACAAGCAAAAGTCCAGGACCAGATGGCTTCACAGGTAAATGCTATCAAACATTTAGAGAAGAGTTAACACCTACCCTCCTGAAACTCTTCCAAAAAATTATGGAGAAGAGAACACTCCCAAGCTCATTCTATGAGGCC